GACCATACGCTCCGCTTTTCCGTTGGACATAGGAGCATAGGCGAGGACCGGTTTCCATGAAATTCCCTGTTGTACCATGAAGTTCTTCAACGCTGTCGCGCTGAAACATGTTGCGTTATCGGAGACTATGGTCCGAGGGGGACCAAACGAATGGATGATCTCCTCCTCCACGAACTTGACAACTTCCGCAGACGTAGCGGTCTCGGTTGCCCAAGCCAGGGGCCAACCAGTCAGATGTTCGACCGCTATCAGGATGTAACGTTTTCCGTTCTTCGTCTTGGGAAGGGGTCCCGCAAAGTCTATCGAGAATGTCTCAAAGAGCTGAGAGACTGGTATCACCGCCGTGCTTTTGTACGTCGGGATGGGCGCAGCGTTTTGGCAGCCTTTGCATCCACGAACGTAGGCGTAGATATCACCATGAACTCCCGGCCACCAGTACCTGTCAAGGACGAACTGCTTCGTAGCTGTAGCGTCCCAGTGGCCAATGTCGTCATGCAGCGACCGCAATATATGCAGTCGAGTCCCCCGAGAAGGGATTGTTCTGATCCCATTCTTCATCCTGCGAAACAGCCTTCCGTTCCAGGCGAGGAACCGCCTGGAGTTCTTCTTGATTCTGCGCCTCTGCGCAGCATCTTGCTCGACCATCTCTTCTCCTTCGAGATAACGGTACGTGTCCCGCACATGAGGTTCCATGTCTTCCAGTATATCTCCTTTCGCAAAAGCGGCAGCACATACCAGGTCCCCCTCATCCTTCTCGCGCCTGCCATCGTCTTTTCGTAGACGCGAGAGAAAGTCAGCGGCACAATTCTTTGAGCCGGGGCGGTACAATATCTCGAATTCGTACTCCGCCAGGAAATCCATCCAACGGGCAAGTCTACCGTGGATGTCCTTCTTTTTGAACGCATACTGAAGCGCTTGGTGATCCGTAATCAACTTGAACTTTTGCGTTGAGAGCAAATACACCCGAAATTTCTTTAGCGCGAAGATCACCGCTAATGCTTCTCTCTCACAGGTGGAGTACTTCTTCTCAGTCTCCGTCATCGTCCTGCTGGCGTATTGTATCGGGTGAACCTTCTTGTCTTCCTTCTTCTGAGCCAGAACTGCTCCCACTGCCACGTTGGATGCATCTGTCTCGACCACGAAGGGTTCGTCAAATTTCGGGAGCGCCAACAGCGGAGGAGACGTCACCCTCTTCTTCAACTCCTGGAAGGCGGTCCGCATCTCTTCCGTAAATTCAAATTCGACTTTGGTAGAAGTAGCAGCATGCAACGATGCAGAGACTTCTGCGAACTTAGGGATGAATCGGCGGTAATACCCCGCTAGCCCAAGGAAGCTTCGTAACTCCGTCTTGGCGCGCGGCTCGGGGGTGTCCCAAATGATCGATGTCTTCTCTGGATCCACCTCAATCCCCTTCTTTCCGATGACGTGCCCCAATAGCCTGGTCTGTGATTGCGCGAAGGAACACTTCGCAAGCTTCAACTTCAATCCACTGCGAGCAATCAGCTCGAACACTTCAATTAAATGGTCAACATGGACGTCCAAGGACTTTGAAAAGATAACCACGTCATCAAGGTATACTTGGACGAATGCCAGGTCTCTGAATACGCCATCCATCATCCTTTGAAATGTTGAAGGAGCGTTCATGAGCCCGAATGGCATCACTTCAAATTGAAAGGTCCCGTACCGACAGACAAACGTCGTCTGTTCTTTGCACCATGAAGCCATCCGCACTTGCCAATAACCCGAGAACAAGTCCAGGGTAGTGAATACTTGGCTTCCTTCAAGGTCGTCGAATATCTCTTCCATTTTAGGCAACGGCCACTTGTCGGCCTTCATCACGCGGTTAAGCGCGCGGTAGTCAACACAGAAGCGAGGTTTCCCGTCCTTCTTCGTTGCGATGACGACCGGAAACGACCAAGGAGCTACAGAGGGGGTAATGATCCCTGCCTTCTGCATCTTCTCGATCTCCTCGCGCACTACCGCGTTGTGTCTCGGAGGGAGCCTCCGAACGGCGTGCGAAATGGGCCTGTCGTCATTTAACTCAAACGAATGTGACACAGGGACATCTGCCGGCCTGAGGTCGTCCAAAGACCATGCAGCTATTCCCACACTCTTGATAGAACATATTATGCGGTCGGCGTTCTCTCTGCTGATATGGCTCAGCTTAGACATGAGAAATTCCTCCTTCTCATCTCTCTTCTCTTTCTCATCCGCCGGCTCGTACTCTGAGCCTTCCCCAGCTAGGTCCGGAAGTCCAGCGTGAGAATCTTCGTCCTCAGTGACTGCTCCCGCCCAGGCAAGGTCTGGTTCAAACGGCACCCTGTCACGCATCGAAAGGACGAAGTCTTCATCCGTGTCAGTCGAGTCAGCCGGCACGGCCCCCGAGTCTGACGTGAAGTCCTCACTGTCGGTAGCGGATCCCGGCTGCCTATGGTCTTCATCCATCTCAAGACTTAGTCGAATCGTCTCAGCACCCACAGTCACTTGGACATGCTGTTGCCCCAAATCAATGCACGTTTGGAGCTCCTCTAACGTCGGCATCCCCACGATGACGTCGTATGGTGTTCCCGTAACGACAAGGAAGTCCATCATGCTCACCAGTCCCCCAAACGAGACGGGAACCTGGCGCAGTGATCCAACACAAGGGGAGCTCTTCCCATCTGCCACAGTGATGTGTTTCTTCGTACTTTCTGGCGTCAGAGAAAGTCTCTTCATGAGGTGCGGCGACATGATGTTCGGCACTGCACCCGAATCCAGTAGTGCTTGAGCATCAGTTCCATAAACTTGAACAGTAACTACCCGAAGACGCCTCGGGAAGACATCCGTGTGGCCCGCAAACCCGCGAGAACGCCCTAATCTCCTGGATAGAAGGCGTTTCATCTCCTTCCTTGCTCCTTCAGCGTCTCCACGGACAAGTTGTCCAAATGTTAGACCAGACGGCGCATTCGCCAGCTCTGACACGACGTTGTACTTGCCAACGTGCTCCTGGAGTGCCGCCTTCTTTGAAACATTCTTCTTCTTCTGGCGTGCGGGCTTCACTCTCGGCACTCTCAGCGGCTCATTCCAGGGGAGAGTTCCCCTAGGAGCTACTGGAGTGGGATTCAGCAGCGTCGGGATCGAAACTTCTTCACGGTTCTTCGACTGCTTCGGCAAGGCCTCTCCTTCGGCGTTGCGTTTCGTAGCTGCCACCAATTCTCCCTTGGTGGTCTCAGTTATGACCGTGACTTGCTTCGAGTCTCTGGTGGCCTTGTCACCGGCGTCGTTGGCAGAACCGCCTGCTTTGGGGCCATAAGCGCTTCCTGCGCCAGCGTTACCTTGAGGACGTGCATGAGCCACATTCTTTCTAGCAAAGCGGGACCAGCAAGTCTCCGTCGTGTGTCAAATCTTCCCACACGTTGGGCAACGAGTATCACGGTGTGGGTTGGAACGACAACGAGTCGCTGAATGCCCTAGTTCCTTGCAATAGGAACATGTCCAACTCGTATCACTGTCCCCTGGCGTCTGTCGTTTCTTCATCATCAGTGACAGTTCCGCCAGCTGGTTGGTGATGGCGTCAACCTTGTTCTCCAGCTTTTCCTGTCGAGGATTCACATCAGAACGCACCAGTACGCGCTTGGGCGTCACAGGTTCAACGGACTGCGCAGCAGTTTTCGCCGCCTTGAAGGCGTCACGGCCTGCAGCAAAGTCCTTCACGGTCTTCATTAGTTCTTCGTACGTCGTCGGAGAACGATAGATCGCGAACTGAGCAACATCCAAATGTGCCATTACGGCATTGCGAAGCAAGCCGTACTTTGCCTCGTCATTGAAACCAGCCCTTCTGTAGAGCTTGTCCATTTCATCCATCGAAGTAAGCAAGTTCTTACCATCCAGTCGTCAACTCATAGCCTTGTGGATGTTTTCTTCTGGCCTCGGTGTCTCCGTAAAACGGTTAGACAGGGCGCTCTTCACACCGTCTCAGTTACTGGCGGCCTCGGTCAGACTCCCATTATGACTATACGTGTCATAGTAATAGTCGAACGCGGCACCCTCAAGGTGGCATAGGATAGCTCCTGCCTTCTCCTTGTCAGGCTTGCCGCGCATAATGATGTTCTCGTATACGAACAGAAACTTGGAAACATCTGACCCGTTCGACCCATCGTAGGTAACAGGGTTAGGGCCCGCACTTGTGTCTGCGTCGGCCCTCCACAAGAGTACCATGTTGTCGGTGAAATGGGGGAGGCGGTTCTGGTGAGCGTGCCGTTCGTGGTGAGGGTTGGCCGAGTGTCGTCCCCCCTTCCCCGCAGCGCCCGTCACCCTCTCTCTTTTATTTCTACGAAATTCCTTCCAGAAGCGTCCACGCATCCGGCCCGGATTCCGCCGGGCCGTCCGCGTGCGCTTCTCTAAAATTCAAATAAAATCTCAGACTACAGAATAAAATCTCCCTCTACAGTAAAATGCAAATATTTCCCTAAAAATATCTCACAGGAACCAACGCCGTTGCCAGGGGATCGCAGCAGCTTCTCTGCTGTGAAACGTAGACGTCCTGCAAGGGCATTTTCCGCTCTGTACAGTACTACCACGTACAGCCCTTTTCTTGAAAAATTCAATTTAAAGGCCTGGGAGATACGCACTGCTGGAAGTCAAGAGAAGAAAAAATTGTGACGAACTGCGAGTTAGGAACGGCCCTGAGGGCCGTCCCAAACAATTTTTTTCTTGAACACCTGTCAACAGGTGTTAATATCGACGCGTGTTTGCCCCGCATACGTGGCAACTTCGAGCAGACTCCACCAGAAGTGCTAGAATGTTTCTCGTCGATGGTGTATTTATTCCAATTTCGCGCACCGTATTCCTATTCCTGATCGTGCTCCAAATTTAATTGCATTGACCGCTTCATTGCTGCTGCCGTCAGGGGCTCTGACAGAGGTGGGGGTGGCCCTCTTCTGCCCTTCCACCCCACCCAACGGCGCCCGTTCACCCCTACAGTTTCCCGTATTGGACAAACACACAGACAGACACGGAAATTAATAGTAGAGTCGTGGAAAGTAGCCACTAAGCCCTCCTCCTTGAGAATTCTTGTCCCTGTTTACCAATAGATTCCTCATTTCCGTGACCTCTTTTCGATATCCGAGCTCATCAATATCTAAGCTTAATTGCCCAGCCAAATAATCGAAGGTGTCCAGTGACCTGAAGTACGTCAGCAGCTTTTCTGATGTACCCTGCGTCCGATTTCTCGGGCCGAGCATGTAGTTGCTGAACGAAACGTTCACCCTGTTTTTACGTCCCCATCCATCATCTAGGAATTTCCGCGGCACATGATCGTATATAAAAGTGATAACTGAAACTGGTTCCTCGAACTTCAACAATCGGAAGTATTTGTGGATGCCATACTCCACACCACACAGCTTCGACTGCGGCATCCAATGCGTATTCATCTCGATGCGGCCCTCTTGCGTTAGTCGTCCTTCCGGGAACTCCTGTCGGACCCAGTCCTCAAAATGTGTCACGGTTCGCTTCTCAATAGGAAGTTTTTCTTGAACCTTATTCAAGTACCCTGAAAGTGTTCTCGTGATAGGGTTTCGAGTAAGCATATATTTTAGCACCTCGTCATTTTCCAAAATGTCCTCTATTTGCTCCTCCCGGAGATTACTAAGCTCTATCTCCGTCCTCCAAGTCGAGTTATGTATGGCATAAACGCGGTCAAAATCTGCACTTCCAGATATTCTGCGAAGGAGACTCCTGTGATAAGTGCACCCGTTCTTAGGAGGCACACAAGATACCACCCTCAAATCTGGAGTTTGCACAGCGTACATCACCTGGGCTGTCCAGACAGCCAAAGTTAAGTTGTAATCTCGGTGACTGAGTGGTCTACGCTCTTTCGATGGTTCCGGCTTAGTCGATGTCAAGCTTGCCTCTGACCATTTGTTGTCCGCTGCCACTGCTCCCCTCCCTGGCCATAATAGAGGAGGGTTCCCTTTCTTGTTCGGCTCTCCGTAGTGAGACATAAACGCATTCCAGAACGGCATCCAGATCATGCCCGATATGAACAGAACAACCAAGACAGCTTTGGGTACTCTTTTTGTACGGCTCTGGAGACCCATGGCTTGGATCTTGGTGGGGTGCTGCTTGGATCTTTACGCCAAAGGCAAACAATGGGGCCGGAAGCTCTGATAGATTGCAAGCGAGTGTGGGAGAGGGCAAACAGGTAGTATACATGGAAGTAAAGACGGTAGGGGGGCAGAGGTAGGGGGGCAGAGGGAGGCAGTGATGGGTTTTGTACTTGTCAGGGCGTCGTCGTAACGGAAGAGCTGGCCAGGTTCATGAAAATGCCGACTAGGGCATTAAGCCCGATTCGCCATTTATATGAGTACTGTGCGACTTTATTAGCAACCAAGGGGAGGAACAACCGCGCCCGAAAGAGCTCTATGACGTTTGTATGGTTTCTTGAAAATATAGATGACAAGTGCAGACTTCTGACATTGAAAACGTTTGTCATATTTCCCGGAAAACAGATACAGAACTGCAGTAACTTGCAAAATGGACGGTGCAGAACTGGACGGTACTGTACTGTACAGAACTGGACGTGTCTCTTCCTTAGAATACTGAGCGTCCTCATAATGGACCACATACGTGGGCGTTTGAGGGGGGCGGTGTACATTTAATCGTTCGAATACAGTAGTGCAAACGGCGAGTGATGCGCAATGGAAACGTTTTCATCGGAGGGACACATGAAGAGCACAGGGTGCATTCAATGTGTGATGAATCCTGTATACATGATGAATAAGCTTCATGTACTGTACTGTACTGCCCTAAATTTTCTTGGTACGGATAAAAAATAGAGCACTGTTTTATTGTATGGAAGGGGTGTGCACCACTGAGAAGTCAACCTGTTATAAACCACTCATCTCGGAGCTACCCGGAATGTTTTTAAGTGAATTGAGAGTACTGAAGCTGTGCCAAGGGCGATCTGGCTGGAAACGTGCAAGTTCCCAACCGGAGCTATCCTGTCATGTGCCAGACGTGCACGGATAGATTTCCTGACGCATGACATGTCACAAACATATTCATACAGCCTTTGATTTTGTCACTGTTCCTTTACTGAACAGACAGTTTGGCTCGGAAAAACGAAAAGCCGCTAGCTGGAGGGCAGAGCTGCCGTGTTGTCTATGAATTGTAGCGTGGCCAGACTACTGTATGATCCTGAGAGAAAACGTGAGATCAGGACTACAGTATTTCCATTCCCTATTATTATATTATATTTTATACGATTCTCGTTTCTTGCATAGAACTGTTGTCAGAATTTGTAATCTTCGAAGAGGGGTCCCTGGCGCTATTATTTACAACAGAGCTAAGACCCTAGCGCCACCCCCTGGCGACCCAGCGCCAGTCTTTATTTACAACAGAGCTAAGACCCCCCCCTGGCGCGGGTCTTAGCTCTGTTGTAAATAAATGCTACGACTTGGGGGATGTAAACAGGCCCTAAGGGCCTGTTTACATCCCCCAAATAAAGTTGCTACGGTACTTGTATGTTTCGACATCTTGTTATCACGTGTACCCAAACTATTGGGTAGCAAAAATGGCTGACGTAACAATAACAAAAAAAAGAAATAAAATTTCCTGGATGCACCCAATGGGTGTACTGTCCAAAGCAAAAAAAGGCAAGACCACGTGTTACGCTCATGTTACAAGGTTTTGTTACGCCCCGGGGGCCTCTTTACATCTGTAATGTTACTTCACTTCCAGCCCAATGTAAAGGCAGTGGCCCAACTGGCCGCACTACGACCGGGGGACTTTCACTTCGACTACAACGAGCCTCCGCCACCCCCCGATGGAAACAGAACGCATCCCTCCCAAGTTATCCGACCACTAAATGTGTGACTAAAAAGAAAACCAGGGTGTTGGCGCTTCGAGTGAAACATGTAACGAGAGATTTTCTGGCCTTCGCGATGCGGTCCGATGCACTTGACGATATCGGAGAGGGCCGTAGCATTTCGTTTTAGTACAGCACCAATGGTTGTCAAACCAAACCTACAATACTGTGCTGTGACGTAACGAGTAGCGAATTGATCTGAGGGATGTAAACACGGCCTTTGGCTTTGAGTGTGGCATACGCGAATCAAAAGCGGGCTTCATTTGAAGACGAAGAACCCGGGCTCTCATACTGTACAGGTACACATAAGCTCTCGAGAAGGATACAGGTACTTAGCTGAAAGTTTAACTTTCAGCGACTGTGCAGAAATAAAGGGGCATTGCAATGAGGGTTTTTTTCGAATTGGGTGTTATTTAAAGATAACTGTACTGTACAGGCTGCAGCCAAATTCATAAATGACTGTGGCATGGTGTGCCGTGCAAGCAATGGCTTTTATTGACAGAGGCGATGTGCACTGCACACGAGTCTTTATCTTTATCACAGGGTATCATAGGGGCGCCCAGTGCGACAGTGCCGGCGCGACACACAGTACTGTATGTCGCCAAACGCGACGCACAAAGTCCTGCATGTGTGGTCATACTGTGTTGTACAGTACTGTACTGTACTGTTGCGGCAATTCTGCCGCGGGGCACAGAGCGACCTGTAATGACGGGAACCCACCCGTATTCTTTTACTCCTCACAAGTCTGCTGCCTCCCCCTTTCCTATCTTCGGGGATGGCTTCTTAAGTACACGTTCTCCGGGATGAGTCGGCTATCCCCAACCCTCCCTCCCGTAACTTCCCCTTCGATCCAGCTTCCCCTTGCCCCACCGGTAGCCACCTCCTCGTGCCATTTTCCCTTCGCGCCCTCGGCCGGCGACCTGCGCGGTCTTCCTGCCCCAGCCCGAGCCCCCGTGCGGCCTATGGTTTCCCTTCGTCTCCCCGGTGGCTGGCACCCCCAATTCCCCGCGCGTGCTGTCTCGCTCCCTCCTTCCCGCCTTTCGCTTGCCCATCCCTCGGCGGTATGCGGATGCGCTCCGCCCCGTGGTACGCGTGTCCAGCTCGCCACCTGGCAACCGAATGCCTCGTAACAGTACAGTACTGTGGCCCTCAGGGCCGTTCCTAACTCGCAGTCCATCACAAATTTTTCTTCTCTTGACTTCCAGCAGTGCGTATCTCCCAGGCCTTTAAATTGAATTTTTCAAGAAAAGCGCTGTACGTGGTAGTACTGTACAGAGCGGAAAATGCCCTTGCAGGACGTCTACGTTTCACACCAGAGAATCTGGTACTGAGAGACGAAACAGGCTGGGTACGAGGGGGCGTGCATAGGCGATCTCGACGGGAGACAGTTTCGACCTGTGCGTTTTATGATTAATTGGGAATGCTTTCCTCGGGGCTCAGCCGAGAGACAAGTGTGTTGTCACACGGGGCACAGCTACGCAATATGGTCTACTGTGGCCACCTCCATCCTCACCCGCATGCCGGCGCATGCCACAGACGTTGTCCACCCACTCCACGTGTAAGCGTGAAATCTACCGTATGCGTTAGGATATGCCCCTATGATACCCTGTGATAAAGAAAAAGGCCGATACCACCTCTCGGGCCTCCCAAACGCCCTCGGCTACGCCTCAAGGCGCATGTCCAGCCCTCGAGCTGATACCGGCCCTCTTGCCCCGTGTGACAACGCATACATATCCTAACGCATATCCCTGCGCACCCTGGGAGAAGAAAATTCTTCTCCCAGCGTGAGTGCAAATTTGGGAGAATTTGGGAGAATTTTGATGTTCTCCCGGCGCCGGGAGAACATTTGAGAGAAGTTCTCCCAAGTAATCAGGGAGAGTCTCCCATTTGTCACCCAAACTTCTCGCAGTTCTCGCAGTTCTCGCAGTTCTCGCAGTTCTCCCACTCTCTCTCGCTCTCTCCCGCTCTCTTCCGCTCTCTCCCACTCTCTCCCACTCTCTCCCACTCTCTCCCACTCTCTCCCACTCTCTCCCACTCTCTCCCACTCTCTCCCACTCTCTCCCACTCTCTCCCACTCTCTCCCACTCTCTCTCACGCACACCACAGCTCACCCACCTTCTTTAACAAGGCATCCGCACCACTCTCTCCCTTAAACATTTCATGATCCTCCAGGTAACACCCTGCCTTACTGTTCACCGAGGCCTCAGTACTACTGTTGTCCACATTGTCGTGTACAATACGAAATGAGCGAGCGAAACGTAGTGTTGTCAGTAGATGATAGCATCGATGCCGATCTCTTCAGCGAAGATCCCCTCTCGCCCGGTCCCTTGTCGCCGATCCATGCCAAAGTTGCAGAACAACGTGTCTGCACTTCGCCCCAACGTAGTGCTTCCCTTTCTCCTGTACCCCCCATTATGTTCCACGTCACATTGGATTGTGGCCTCGCCGTGCTGAACAGAACAGACCGATATCCCCAATGCAAAACCCGGCCAACTTTGACTCTTTATCTTCTACCGATTTGCCGTTTTCTCAAGAGCAAGCGCAGCTAGAATGTGATGATCCTGTTGATGAGCTATCTGAAAGTTCAGATGACAACAGTATTTTTGTGTCTGACTCTGAGCTGGAAGCTCTAGGATGCGAACGTAATCCCACGCGGTCTATTAGCAATCATGTTTCAGGTACTACTACTGTAATACAGGACCACTTCTCCGCTCTTTTCAACGACTATGCTTCTGAGTGTATCAATGCACCGCCTGGTACGGACTTGGAGTTTCCCATGCAAACACAGGATACGGCACATGTTGAAAACTTGTCACGCGATGTGCCAGATGCTACCGAGCTTCCAGATTGGGACTACGCCACCCCTTTGGAAACAATAGAGCTTGATATTGACGTCGTTGATCGTGAACTCTGCCCAAAATATATTCTGGAATCAAATGAAATCCTTGACAACGTAATTGCAAAGGCAAGTGTGCTGCGTGATAAAGCTGTGGATGCGAGCAACCTCCGCCGTATTGATGTATTCGATTGCTTCATTCCGCTATCCATCCTCGAAAAGCTACGTGCGCATATCAATGAAGTGCTTAAGTGGAAGAAAAAAAGACGAGTTGAAACATTTGAGCTGAAAGGGGTCATCATCACGTATTGGCGGCGTCGTACAACAGCTGTGCAGCTACCATCACTGCACCGGAAAATGAAGCTTTCTTTTACCAAATGGGCATTACAGGGCAG